TGCTGGAAGATGGCAGGAGGGAGGGGCTACTATATTTGCAGAAATGGCCGCTCCCAGATGAAAATTATTGTTTTAATTTTTTTACTGATTAACACTAAATTCATTAAATCACTGCGAAAGTATTAGTTTTAGGTATAAATAAAGATCCACTGATTATTCCTAGATGACCGGACTTCTCCTTTAAAGCGACGTTAAAGCTAGGTGGAAATCAGCCTGATGTTTAGCTAAATGTTATGATGACACTGCTGCTGGCCATCCATTAAATAAATAAATACAGAGAGAAATAACTGTATGTCTTTTGAAAATAATTCATTTTAGGATGAAAGCTGCAGGTTGAATTCCTCCCCCCAGTAACTGCCGCCATCGCCTGTTCTTCGTTTTGCACCCTTTGCCAGCTGATTATCAGGTCCACTAATGCTAATATTAGGTTAGAAAAAAAAAGCAGCAATCTTAGAGTTGCTTTTTAGATCCTTTGCTTCCTTAACTATGAAGTCAGATTTCTTCCAAAAGTTTGCACATGTAATAAATACTGATACGAGCAGTTTTAGTTATTTAAAACAAACACATAAACTTTCTTTCAGCTAAATCCATCATCCAATCACCTGCCAGTGTCCGCTGTCCTCCCCTCCTCCTCCTCCCGCCCCCGTCAGCCCATTGGTGCTCGGCTTCTTCTCCTGCATCTCAGCCTGGCTTTCGTTGGTCACGTCCAGGGTGGGGTTGTCATGGTAACCATTCTTCACAGAATGAAGCTCCTCTGCAGGAAACTGACGAAGCAGAAGGAAGTTTTTATCACATTTAACTAGTCAGGAGGTCTTCAGTAGGTCTGAAATTAGAGCAAAATAAGGATAAATAAAGCCGACGTCAACAAATAGGTCAGAGAATTCAGCTTTCATCCACCTGAACCAATAAAGGGAACCAGGCCAGGTAAAGGACGTTATTAGAAATGTCCAGCTAAGCTGGATCTAAGCTGAAGACCTTCTATTCACCTTTTTCTTTTTAGAAAGAGTATAAACACCAAAGGTTACTCCTCATTGCATAATAGGGAACCTTTAAAGGTCATCACTATAAACATGTAACAGTCACATGTTGAATCCTGGAGTGAATGAGGTTCAGAAATGAAAACAGCCGTTCCCCCTCTAACCCCCGGGGTTCCACTCAAAGCGTAAGGTCTGTGGATTCAGCCAAGCACCATATCCCACCGCAAGCGTTTTAGCGCCTCGGAGCGATTAAACTCAGATCACACAAAGGATTTCATCGTCACAACGTAGCTGTATATACATGTAGGCTTCAAATAGAACAGTACAGTGGTTATTTGGCCGGTAGAACCATGTTCCTGACTCTTCATCTGGCCATATAACACCTCAGCCTGTGCCTTTACTTTCTGCTGTTATCTTTATAAAACAGAGTCGTGTAAAATAAAATATCCCCCTTTCCCACTGGCCCAAAAACCAGTTTAAACCCGGGAGCAATCAGCTTTTAGTGGCAGTGGGAACAGCTCACTGACGCGTGTTTACCCGGGTCAAACGACTCGGCAAGCGACCCGCGTTATAATCTCCTCGATTCTGATCGGCACGCTGTGAGAACACCAGAGCCGCTGTTCTGTCAGACCAGCATACCCATAATCAATACTTGTTTATCCCTTTAGTTTTTTACGAAAAACAAACTTTAAAGTCATTGGGAAGTCGTATTTAATGTCAAATCATTCTGGCTTAAACATGTATATAAATGTTCTCTTTATCAGACCATATTGTCTGTTTTTTGTTTTTCCGTTATCTTCTGCAGGCCAGTTAGTTCTACGTCAGCCTGAACACCTAAATTCGACCAATCATATATCAACAGTCATCTGTCAATCAAATGTTTTCGGTCATAGCA